ATGTGATTAGTAAAAAAAGGAATCATAGGCGGAGAAAGATTGCAGTCAAAATTACTCACCAAACCTAATTGTTACCAAGGTAACGCCCGGAGTGATAAACCATTCATGTTATTTACACAGTTTAGGATGGTAATTTTGAATAGCTAGTGCCTCGGCGTATTTCAAAATCTTGATGTTGATTGTGTTGTAGAAGATTCTGAACGTGTCGCGCAGCGTTTCCTTTCATTTCGACCAGGTATTGTGCGATCGACGAATTGAATTTCCTACGGATCATCGATGACCTCATACTTCCGAAGTTCCCACTCATTGTTTTCTGAAGCCAAACCGGTTANCGGTTACTCGGTAACGCAGTTGTCTGTTCGTTCTGCCGATGTAGATGGCTGAACATCCACACTTGAACTGATAGATACAATTAATTGATTTGACGTGGGGACATAGCGGTTCTTTCACCGATGGTATTGGCAACCGGGCGGTTGTAAAAAAAACAATGATGGGGTCAGCTGTGTAGGAGGTGCGTTTAACGGCCGATTTTAGGCGCTTGGTAATCAGGCATTTGATATCGTCACCCTTGAAGGGCAGTTGCAGGACAACTTTCATCTGATCTGCACCTGGTGTCTTTTCCCGAGTAGGGTTGGTTTGGGAGTGCTTTGGGATGAATCCTTCCGGATATCCGTTAGAGTGTAAAACTTCTCTAATCTTGTCCTATTCGTTAACCAAAGTATCCGTTGTGCAAGTCAGTCGCGCTCTGTAGAAGAGCGATCGAACTAGACCAATCTTATATCCCATTGGAGCAAAGCCGGTAAAATGGAGATATTGTCCGGACCATGTATCCATCCAGTACGCAGATCTTCTGATCGATTCATCTGTTCGACGTGAAACTTCCACATCCAAAAAGTCGATGCGTTTCAGTGTGTCAACATGTCAATATTATGTTCGGGTGGAGATTATTCAAGTGTTCAAATAATCTATCCCCGTCTTTCTTTGCATCACAAATGATAAATATATCATCAATATGCCGGCAGTATAGATCCAGCTTTTTAATTTCGTCCCTCAATTGATGTTCTAGGTGTCCGCCGAAAATGTCCGCAAGAATGGGCCCCAGCAGACTGCCCATAACGACTCCATCTATCTGTTGATACCGTTCACCAAAGAAGGAGAATTTCACATTATGGATACACCGACAACAAAAGCCTTTCCAGTTCATCCGCTCATAGTCCAATGAGAATGTTCTTTTCTTTCTTTCATAGTTTCTTTCATAGTTTGACGAATAATCGCAATGGTCTCCAGTAGGGGGACGTTTGTGAAAAGTGAATTCACAATTATAGTAACCATATGTTTGTTTTAAATGTTTCTGTCTTTCAATAATGTGCACCGTTGAGAACTGTCTTTCACATTGTTGTGGGAAATGGAGTCTCGCACCGGTTTTAGAGTTTATGCTAACCCCTTTTGTCTAATTTGTGTTGTGGCAAGTTGCACATAGACATCATGGGTTGCAATGGAATACCTTCTTCGTGTAGCTTTGGCAAACCGTAAATCTGTGGCATTTGACTTCCTAACGGTCGTAATTGTTTTACTGTGGATTCTCGAATCAGTCCCACTTGCAACAAAGTTTTCAGTTCCATACTGATTTTTTTCTCCAGTTTTTGCGGATCATTCTTTATCTTACCCACTCCGAATTCTCTTTCATCTTTCAAAATAGAGAGCATTTTTTCTTTATAACAAACTTTATCCGTCACAACAATACCGGATCCTTTATCCGGACATAGAACAATCACATTGCCATTCGATTTTACTTCCTCCAATGCCTTCAAGTGGGCTTCAGTCAGTTGTATACGTTGCCGCATTGATGTCGTTTGGTATTGATGTTCTATGTCCACTAATTTAGCTTTGAACTAGCCAAGGGTATCCTCATTTGTCAGTTGCAGAGTTGCGAAATTGTAAAAAAAGGATTCCGCAGATTTGAAGTAGTTATGTCGATTGTGAAAAATTCAGTAGTCTCGGTGGGATTCGAACCCACATATGGACGTGTTAGGTAAAAAGACTATTTTTTTTTACCTAAAACTGATTATTTTTCGAGTATCTTCAATTAGGAGCATCTCTTGTCAATACTAATCTCGCGGAGAATAATCAATGCTATCGCGTCATACGGAGACATTCACTCCGTCCGTCTGATCCGTGACTTATGATCGATTGAACTTTGCTAACTGCTTACTTGATTGGCATAATCTTTTTCTGGCATTAATCGATGCTATTTTGAGTCACATATAAGCATCAGAGTAAAACTTGTAAATTGACTTGCTTCCTGTGTGTGTTAAGTACACGTTCGCTGTGTTCTTGCTTACGTAGCTGGGAAAAGGCTACTAGTGCTCGTGGCGTCCAATCTGTGCCCTGATCGCACTCGTGAGGCTAGACGACTAGTGTGGTCGTTGAGGTACGTGTGTTCCTCGTCTGTCATCGTGTGATATCTTGTTGTGTGTATATTGTGATCAATCGAGAATCGGACACAACAGGACGCCGCCTACGCTTTGTACGCGCACGCTGTACCAGCTGAGCATCTGTAAATTGGACGGGTAATTCGAATATGAAAAGATCAGTACTCTCGGTGTGGCTTTGTAGCTCAGCTGGTGGTGTGCGTGTACAAAGCGTAGGCGGCGCCCATGTGTGGGTTCGAATCTCACCGAGGCTACCGAACTTTTCACAATCGACAAAACAAAAAAAGGATTCCATCTTCACTTGAGAATCTATACGGTTAGACTTCCGTGGCGGAACACAGTAGTTGAGATCACATGAAAACGACTGGAGTTGTAAACGACTGAGCTTGCATGATCACATAGACTGCAATATGCACGTGTACAAATGCAGCGAAATGATCCAGGATAGATTAGGCAAACCTGAGTTTTTGGCTTTTTCTTATTTAAATCGCAATTTGATCATACTGATCAGTAGTTCGGGTTAGGATAGCGAGATGTTAACATTCCATTCAATCTTCTCAATCACTGACGTAAAAGCAATCGGACAAGTGCTATAGCACATTGGATTTGTGAATCCCTGATGACCGAACGTGTACAGATAGATAGGGGCTATTCGAAATTTAAAAAAAAACAAGACGTGAACTCTACTACAAGTGACCCGACTGCATCAACAACTTTTGGGAGCACAGAACGAGATGACGTAATCGGATTAGTAAAGCCTCCCTCATTGCCAGCAGTTTTGCATTGCAATTATCCAACAAGAGTTTGAAAGAGGAAACGGGATCAGTTATTTGTTTGGTGGTCCTGATGAGTTTTGCAGTAGATGACCCCGGGTTACGTGTGATCGCCTGATTACTGCTTGTGGGTTGCGTCATTGACTTCACCAACCACTTCAGAATGTGTTCGGCTGGAGTCTTGTGCTGAGATGAGCGACAAGCTCGTAAAATGTATTGTGCCATATCGTGTACATTCAAAATGAGAAACGGTCTGATTAACTGCCTGGTAGCCGAGTGGGTAGTATACTTTCGTTCTACCTATGAGGTCTCAAGTTCAATCTCCAGTTAAGTCGATGGATTCGCAACCCAGCCAGGTCGAAATAACTGTACAGTGCTTCCCAGCTTTTCAGCTCACGTCGCATTTACACGATGAATTCATTTATACTTATTTCCTCAATACGACCAAGAGAAAACTTTCGTGGCCTGATTACTGTCCGTGGGTTGCGTCATCAACGCACACACACACACACATTCCCAACTGCTCAACTTCGCCTCTACCCCGTAGAATGGATTTAGACAAACGTGTACAATGTTGGCAATCCAGTTCTGCCTCACCCACTGTATACCAATGCATCTACAGTTACGATGACGTATACATAGGCAGAACCAATCGTCAATTATCACAGTGGATGGTCGAACACATTCCTAAGTGGTTGGTGAAGTCAATGATGCAACCCACGCCCAGTAATCAGGCGGTTACACGTAACCCGGGATCATCAATTACAGAGCACGTCATAACAACCAAACACATAATTGATCCCGCTTCCTCTTTCAAACTCTTGTTGGATAATTGCAATACAGAACTGATGACAATAAGGAAGGCGTTGCTAATCGGATTACATCATCCCGTTCTGTGAGCCCAAAAGTTGTTGACCCGATCTGTTCACTTTTCCCGAGGGGAATTTTTGGATAAGTCCATTCGGTTTTTTCCGCACGCACCAGGCATTGTTGATGATCTTGTATGTGGGTTTCACTCCTTGGCAGATCGTTTATTTCCAACGGGATAAATGCGATTGAAATCTTTGTGATGAAAAAAACGTATGGACTTATCCAAACAGTTTCCGTCTAAACTGATTGAGCAATTCCCACCAATGAACGACTGTGGACCGTGTGGTTCAGGGGCAAAGGTTAAAAGTTTCCACTGGAATGCTCGCGGTTTGTGTCCTCTTTGTCGGGCTTCACAAAATACCTTTTGTTTTCAAATTCGTATTGTCCCTGTCCATATAGGTACACGTTCGTTGACCAGGGTTCACAAATCCAATGTGCTATATGTACTTGTCCGGATTGTTTTTACGTCAGCGATTGAGAAGATTGAACGAAATGTTAACATCTCGCGACACAGTTAAGGAATTCCGAAATACGTTGATTTGCTTGAGTTATGAAAGTATTCTCATGCACGGATTGACAAATAGATCGATGAATTTCAGTGAATTTCACTCGTGAGCTATGATCATTCGATATGAAATTAATTATAAACCGCATTCGGCCGGTTTTATCGATCGGTATTGCTCAGTTGGATTACCGAGCAGAGTCAGTAGTAAATCATTTCATTAATCGAAGGCAATTGACTTACTCGAACAGCAAGAGGTTTTCTACTCGCCTGGTTATTTCTATAGTATTCTTAATTGGTCCTTGTCCCGTTGTTCCCTCTCGTTGAGTGCCTCAAAAGGTCAAGATGGTGTGCTTTCCCTCTTGGCCGACGTAGCAGCTCTTTCTACCAATCATGAATCCATACCGATATCAACAATGANAACAATGATAAAATACCTTTGCTCTACACTATTACACAATTTATCATGGCCACTTCACCAATTCACGTTCAGCACACATTCTGTAAATTTCGAAAGCTTTCACATTTCTTTTTCCCCCGACAAACTGATTTTTTTTACATTTGTGAATGCATGCGTACTACCCAACCCCCTGTTTGAACTGCTCTCCACTAGTTTTTCTCGGTCTGTTGAAGGAAAAAGAAACGATTCACTTGCAGGTAAGATCCCTAAAACACATCATTTAATACAGTGGCACTGCTAGGGAAAAACTTGTGGAGTCTATCATGGACAAACACCTACAAGCATATGCAAATTTAAGTGTCAAAATACTCGCAGACATTCATTACACAACAAACTTTTAAGGGTTATTTAGACAGGCTCAAGGTCCAAACATTTATTTGCATGTAACCGTAATCCTGTTTTGTCATATCTCACAGGTCTAATTGTTGTGAAGGAGAAAATCTCCACAGAACTACGTAATTGCTTTAACTCATTGACCAAGAGACAGTCTCCACTACTTTCAGTTTCATTTATGCATGTTGTAAAATGTTGAAAATTCACCCATTTTGGCGGTGCATAAAGCTACCCTGGCTGACTTGACTTGAGTGGTAGCAAACATATTGCAAATGAACAGTGGTACATTTTTTTTCCTGTGATTTTACAAATTTCATTAACTTTTTTTTGTCTTAGACCACGCCGAAAACCACTTCAATAAATCACACCGATAAAAGATAGGCATTTGTTTTTGGTCAGATGTGATCTGTTGAACATAAGTTGGGTCCAGTTTGCCCGTGTCAAGAAGTTGTCCGATTCGGACAAGTGACTTGATATTTATCCATCATTCCCCAGTCGATGATCACACTCGTTGATGGCCGACAGTGTATTTCAGTCGGTAACAAGCAGTATGGATTGTGCAAGATTCTTTCCTTTCACACCTGTGCATGAGCCTGTCAATATGGATTGTGCTATATTCTGGCCAGACAAACTGAACCAATCGAATCAGTTGCCGGTGATCAAATGGGTAAATTTTATGTCCGGGCTACACGATTTCCGCCTGAGTCGATGAATTTGTACTGTGACTAAGTGCGACAATCAGAATAGTATTGAATATCGGAATACGGGAAGCCGTACTGTAATACTTAGAACTAGATTGGCTCCAACCCGAACTGCGGATACCAACGAAATACACAGAGAATTGGTAGCAGCAAGTGCCGATGTTTATTGACAGAAATGGAGTATGTTTTATAGAAAGATGAATGGCCATCGTTCAATCACGTAACCGTTTACGCAGACGCATCGCATGTACCAACTCTGATGTAATGTTCGCCCGGTGTACCATTGGTCCCGCTTCCTGAACTTTGATTGGGTGATATGAAGCTGTACCTGGTCAGACCTGTAATGCGGTCACGGAAGTCTGGGTCACCACAACTCGCTTCCCTCGAGAGTGCTTCGTCAGTCTGGCTTACCTGACGGTTAGACCTGCGGACTGCAATCGTTGGCTCCGCCTGNGTATCCTTGCGTTTCGATTGGTTGGGTCTGCACATCTGACCGATTCGGCTCCGTCGGGTGCTCTGACGGAGTTCGCATCTGATTATCTCCGCTTATCTCTTGTTGCCGCTGGTCCGTGGATGATTTGAAGGGGATTTAGTCCACATGTCGTTTGTGCACCGTAGCATCATTCAACTAAAACCCTGGAACGGTGAAACAATTATTGTTCGGTGTTTTTGCGATGAGAGCTCAATTCCGGTCGTAGCTCACTCGCATCGGATGTCACATGACTTCTGATCGGCCTCGTATTGACAGGTCTATTGATTATTGATCTGTATTT